AATTAAAAATAAGACTGCATTTTTTATAATTACATGAGAATGACTGTTTGCTTGTTCACAACTTTAAAACTTTCTTTTGATCACGGCTTCAGTGCGAAAGTTTCACTTTTTTAAACTAAAAAGGTATTGAATTAGTAGGTACAGTAGTAGCCAATAAAATTACAACACATACAANTGAAAAATTAAAAATAAGACTGCATTTTTTATAATTACATGAGAATGACTGTTTGCTTGTTCACAACTTTAAAACTTTCTTTTGATCACGGCTTCAGTGCGAAAGTTTCACTTTTTTAAACTAAAAAGGTATTGAATTAGTAGGTACAGTAGTAGCCAATAAAATTACAACACATACAATATTTACCTTATATTTAGTAATTACACCTTAAATATACAATTTGCTTAATCTTTTCACTGGATCGTCTTTTAACAACTTTCAATAATCTGCTGCAATAAATCTTAAACCAGAAATATTAATATTTTCATAGTGATGCAATTTCCGTGGCTACCAATGTATATCTTAACAATAAAGTTTTATTCATAACTAAGTTTTCTTGTTATTGATAATTAATATCAAGTACATCTAATGTAACTTCAAGTCTCAACTGTTGTACCGTTAATTCATATGCGTCTATTCTATAAGATTCTTGGCAGTAGCATAGGAAAGTGATAATAGAGGACTTCTCTCAGGCAACATCAATGCAAGCTAGAACACATGCCGATGCATCTTTTAATTTTCTATTAATGATAGGAATTGAATGGATATGTATCTATACCACGAATTATGGAAAACAGTTCATCGAGAAATTGAAAAAAAGGAATGCATATAATCTGTTAATCTTTTATCTTTTTACTTTTATTAAGCGATTTTTCAATAAATTTTGAAGGGTGGAAAAATAAATAATTGAAACAAGTTATTTTATCGGTAGGAATTGTTTATAAAATATTTCTATGGCGACTAAATTAGAAAATTGGTGATTATAACTGAAAAAGCAAGTTGAAAATACAATTTTATCATAATAAATTTCATATACAGAAAACATGATTGATACAGACATACATACATTTTATCTGGAAATCCAGAATATTTCTGAAACTACGAAAGACAGTAAAAAAATGTTCTTACAAAAATTGTTTGATTTAATGGGGAAGATTGCGTGATTTCAATAATTTTTGCATGGGTGTAGTAACGGTCGAGATTTCAAGGTCAAGTTATTTTTTTTTTTATGAAATAGTAGGTTTTTTAATTTATAATCTGTTAGCGTTTTTTGAAAAAAATTCAACGACATATTATTTGTTATCACTCCGAGCGGTAAAGTGAAATACTGAATCAATCTGGCAGGCTCAAATACCACAGTCTCGCAGCTTGATTGGCTGACAACTCACGGTTTCCGTCGATCTAACTGCTTTGCATTTCACTAATTTATGACTCTACCCCTTAGAATGATAACAAATAATTTTCCTCAGAAAACGCTAACAAATTATAAATAAAAAAAAACATACTGTTCCATTTAAAAAAATTAACTTGATCTTGAAATTTCGGATACCACTACAGCCACATAAAAACTATTAAAATACATAATCTGCCACATCAAATTAAACAACTTTTGTAACAACATCTTTTTCGCTATCTTTCGTAGTTTACGAGATATTCTAGATTTCTAGGTGAAATGGACACTCTATATACATTTTGGGTGATTGTGATTAAAGTATTTGTATTGGTTGTATTTTGTGAATGAAATGTCAATGAAAATTTTGTTTTCTTAATTATTAATTCTAAGATATGCTTGAAACAAATTGTAATGTATACTGTGTATTAACAAGATTTTTTATTTATGTAAATGATTATTATCCTTTTCAAAATACAAAACTACTTTAATTTTCAATAAATGCTAATTTATGTATTTAGTAGTTTTAATTTTACAACGTTGAACAATTATTTTCTTTACTTCTTCAATACTCTGTGATTTTCCAAGATTTACAATCCTTTGTGTTTTATTGCACATTTTCAAGTTACTTTTTCATAGAAAAATTGATTACTATAGATTGTAATATACATATAAAATTTATTTGAGAACTGCTTTCAAACGTGGCGTACAGTTAGCTGTATTGTATTCCGTACAGATAATAAAAGTTGGACCTATACATGTGTTGTTTAAGAGTGCAGTGTATGGTGCTAGCAGAATCATTAAATATATGTTATTAGGAGGAAGTGAGTGAGCACAGACTTACATGTTGTGAATTGTTACGTTCACTATATTGTTACGTTCTGAGCTCCAGTTCATTAAGATGCCGGTGTAACAGACTCTTGTTCGTGTTACAGCAAAATTTCGGTGACTTTAAATCCAAATAAATATGTAACAAATAAGAAAAATAGATGTTCGTGAGATACCTTTATAGACATTTCGTCTGTTCAGAAAAGAAAAACGAAAATAATACGAAAAGAGCACTCTCGAAATAATAATCAATATATAATAATTATGTAAGTAATCCCTATAATATATCATGCTATCTCACAACATGCAGCAAAAAGAAATGCCTTGTAAATTAATTTCCGCGGGAGCAATGGAATCTGTGAAAATTATTTCTAAACATTATCACTTTTTCTTTTGAATTGTGTACCTTCAAGGAAGTCACAGTGACATCGTCAGTCTAAATCACATTCTCTTGTATTTAAGAAAAAATACGTGAGTGTATAAAACTAGCACACCAACAAATAATTTGAAAAATTATGTATTTCACAGAAAAGATATAAGCGATAAATGCTTTTTATTTTAAGTACATTGCTGAAGAAAAATGTAAATAATTCAAACTATTTTCACGGTTTAAAGTTTTTCAGGAATCTAATAATCCACTTTACAGTAGCATTATTTTTAAAAATGTAGGAAAGTATTTTTTATCATTGTCATGAGTATAAATATATTGTAGTAGAGCGATTCAAGAGTAACAGATGAAACCTATTTATCGTTGGACATTGTGATTAGGTGTATAACTGTGTTTAAGTATTCTTGCTCTAAATATGACAAATATTTGGTTGAAATCTGTGATTGTACTGCTGTAACATATCCTTGTTAGTGAAGGTAAATATCATTACCATACAAAATGGTATTCCGCATTTCTCATTAGAAAGTTATTCGTTTAAGTTGATCAAGAATTTCATACAATAACAATAGATAACGTTTCCCTGAACTGCACTTCATTAATGATTAGGAATGTTATATAAGTGTAAAGTTAGGCAATAACTTCTTTCGTAAAGCATAAAACATGCGTTGTTACACGAAATGAATGTTTATTTGGTATAAACAGATATGCTTGATATTGCAATGCTATGCATTGAAATATGAGCTGTTAATTTCATGCTACACACATAAGGTGGAAGCATCAAAAACATAATTTCGATTATTGATTATGAACAATGATTTATGTTTGTAATACTGTCAAATATTAAGATACAGTTTGGTTGGCTAGATTCTTCAAAGTAAAATTTACGCGACTCATAAAAGGAATAAAAGTTGCTCAGCGAAAAGATGT